TCTCTTAACCTCCGTTGTAATATAGTTCTGAAAGACCTGAACTATATGGACATCCCACAGAACATCACACTGGTCTACTGTATTGATGGTATTGTGCTAATCAGATTGGATGAGCAAGGATTGGCAAGCATGTTGGAGGACTTGGTGAGATATATATATATACCCCAGAGTGTGGAAGAAAATTTCTACAAATTGTTGAGGGTCTACCACATGAGCGAAATTTAGGGATTCTAGGGTCCAGGGAATACTTTTTTGTGTCCTGGTTAAGAACGATTTGCCTGTTTCTTGATCTTGTTTTCTTCTGAAATATTATCTTACATTCATATTTAGATCTATGACTCATCTGGAATTGATTTTTTGTATCTGTGTGATGTAGGGGATCAGTCTTTATTTCTTATGTAGTGTTAACCCATATCCCCAGTATCATTTATTGGGAGAGAGGGGAGAGAAACACATTCCTCCATTGCTTTGTTGAATCACTGAATCAGTCCATTTCTATTGCTTATAACATAGATACCTGAAACTGGGTAATTTATGAAATTATATTTATTGCTTAAAGTTTTGGAGGCTAAGAAGTCCAAAGCCCAGGGAACACATCTGGTGAAGGCCTTGTTGGTAGTGACTCTACCCAGCAACACAGGGTATTACATGGTGGATGGCTTGAGCAGAGAGAGAGAGCTTCTCACATGCTCTCCTTTTAAAGCCATCAGACCCATGCATGTGACCACCATTAAACCCCCAAATGGGTTAATCCATTCACTATGACTTGGTCCTCACAATCTAATCACCTCTTCAAGGCCCCACTTTTCAATTATCATAATAGGATTTCCCATCCTCAACAGTTACAGTGGGGATTAAGCTTCAATGGGTTTTGGGGGACATTCAATCTACAACAATCACCTTCAAAAAATAAAATTACCTTATATGTGTGGATCTTCCTTAGGTCTGTCTATTCTGACCCGTTTGCCTATTTTTTATCCTTGTGCGTATAGAACACTGACTTAGTAACTGTAACTTTATAATAGACCTTGATATTTGGTAGTGTAAGTACTCCAGCTTTGTTCTTCAAAATTGCCTTGGCTATTCTAATTGTTTACATTTCCATACAGATTTAAAAATCTTCCTGATTTCCACTAAAAAAATCTAGGGCATTATTGAAGTTGTATTGAATCTACAGATAAATTTTGAGATGACATCTTAACAATCCATAACATGGTATATTATACATGCATTTACTTAGGACTTTAAAAAATTTCTGTCAATAATGTTGTGTATCATATCTTTTGATAGATTTATTACTAGATCATTTTGGGTGCTATTATAATTATTATATATATATATATCAATTTCTATTTATTTTCTCATATAAAGGTATACAATTAAATTCTATGTCTAGACATTTTATCCTGTGGCCTTATTAAATTCACTTATTAGTTCAAATAGTTTTCCAAAAGATTCTTTCAGACTTGCAATGTATATAATTTTGTCATTTGTGAATTGTGCCATTGCAGTGTTATTTCTTCCTTTCCAAATTGTATGTCTTTTCCTTCTTTTTCTCCTTTATTGCATTGGCTAGAGCATACAATACCATGTTAAAAATTAGTGGTAAGAGTAAGTAAGTCCTTGTTTCATTCCTGCTGTCAGGGAGAAATATTCAATAATTTAAGTATAACATAAGCTATAGTATTTTTAAAGATGTCCTTTATCAGATCAAAGATGTTCTCTCTATTCCTACTTTGCAGCAAGTTTTCACTATAAATGGGTGTTGAATTTTTTTCGAATGCTTTTCCTTCAACTATCAAGATGATCATACAATTTTTCTTTCTTTCTTT